AATTCTGAAATGAATTAATCAATTTCAAAGAAAAATACACAACAGGAATATTCCAATAAATAGTTGTAATATGTCCATTCCATGTACATAGAATTCAGATTTTCCTCAATTTTCCATCTTTTATTTTCTTCTTCTTGTTTCGGGAAAATCAGACATGCACGGCAGACCCCCTGTGTTGCCGACCCCTGGCCTGACCCCGTCCACACTCTGAAACACTAAGGTGTGAACTTCTGCCCTACTCCCTGATAATTTTTATGGCCTTCCAGCCTCCCTGTTTATGACTCTACAGCTTGATAAAAGCACGTGGAGAGGTAAGAGACACAAACAAACTTCAAAGAAGCTATGGGAAGAATGTAAGCATTTGTTGTTTAAGTTATTATCCAGCATCAATGCTTATCTATTTAGTCATGACGAATAAGCTTGAGAATGATGAAGAATGGATGCTTTTCAGGCTTTACAAAATGTTTTCAATGCTTTCGGTGGTATTTGATGATATATGATGTTGTCATTGTGCTTCTATGGAAACTAAATTTGAAATAAAGAAGAACAATTACAGTAAGACAACATTTTTTAACATCAGATGTTGTTTTTTTACAGTGTTGAAGAGTTAAGTTGTTTTCTGTGTTTAAACGTGAATATAGAAGTAAAACTATTCCCTCATAATAAATGACCTGTTTTGGTAAAGGCACTTCCATTCACTTCCACTTCACAGAATGGAGCAGTGGTTAAGATCTGTACACCAACTATTATTTTATGATTATTAGTCTGTCAACTCTATTTTCTTATGTTTAAGTTTAAAATGTACAAAAATGTAATAAAATTGTGCTTTTTTGTTGCAATAAAATGTTTCTGATCCATAAACTCAAACAAAGGTAATCTAATTAAATATAATATAAAAATGCAGTTTTCAAATCACTTATTAAATTATGAAATAACTGGTAAGCCATTTGTTTAAGGGAATTCTACTAACCACACAAACAATAGAATACTACCTGATCCATGGAGCAAAGACATTAATTAAACAGACATGTTTGTTAACATGACTGCATAATTTTAAAAAGCAATGCATCAGGAGTGTCATATAACCCAACACACCTAAATCACTGAAAACCTCCATTAACTAAGTTTATAGACATGGAAAAAAATGTTGATGCCCCTTCTTTAATTAAAGAAAAACATAGTTTCAATCTGACAAACGCAATAATGAATCAAATTTAAGTGATAAAGAATAAGAGCAAATCAGACCCTGAATGATTTAAAAAATCAAACTTATGAAACAGGCCTGGACAAAATCGATGATTCCCCTAGAAAAGACCAAACCCATGTGACCAAAGGGACATGATATATTGTTTCCACTAATTAGCATCACTACAATCTTGTTTTCATTTATTGGGCCTATGAATAGGGCTAAAGATGGTAACTTTGCCATTTGGTGACATGGTGTGCACCACATTCAACATGGACCAGAGGAAGCAAAGGAAAGAGTTGTCTCAGGAGATTAGAAAGAAAATTATAGACAAGCATGTTAGAGGTAAAGGCTATAAGATGATTGTGTGACTAGAGTTGCACATATTATTCAGAAACTTAACATGCATGGGCCTTTGCCATCATCCCAGGATTTGGCCGCAAGAGGAAAGATTGATGACAAATCAAAGTGACAGGTAATAGGAATGGTAACAAAAGAGTTCAGTAAAAAAAATTCTAAAGAGATTAAAGGTGAACTTAAAGAGTCACTGCAGACTTTTCAATGATGCACCTGTGGCCAAAACCCAGAACTGCAGAACTCTTCTGTTCATTATCCAAGAGGGTGATGGTACTCAAGGTTACTTTTTTTTTCTTTTTTCACCTTTCCTGGAGTTGCCATTGGTGTCTACCAGATATCCATTCAGGAAAATAGACTACAGGCTTATAAGTGCATCAGCACTGAACTACTGATGTGTCAGTCTGCTCATTAAATTATGTTTTGGTCAAAAAAGGGTCAAATAAAAAGGCTCTTTTGAGATGTTTTTCAGTAAGAATGTACATATTGTCTATTTAAAGCTCAAAGGAACATCAGTGTCAGATCACACCATCTGTTGCTGTTTGAGCCAAAGTGAACATCATTCTTGAAAAGAAATAATAAAAAAGAGACTAGAATTCGTCAAATTACATGCTGAAGAACCACAAAACTTCTGGGAGAATTCCCTATGGACAGATGAGACAAACATTTTACTTTTTAACCAAGCCACATCAGCTATGTTCACACATGTGGAAAAATGAAGCATGTCATGAAAAAGAACTCTGTCCCTACTGTGAGACATGGAGGAGGCTCAGTGATGCTCTGGGGCTGCTTTGTTTCATTTGGTACGGGGTGTACGGAATTGCTGCGGGGTACAATGAAATTTCAAGACTATTAAGGAATTCTAGACAGAAATGTGCTTCCCAGTGTCAGAATGCTTGGTCTCAGATGCAGGTAATGGGTCTTATAACAGAATAATTACCTAAAACACAGCTAAAACACTCAAAAATGGTTAAGAAAAAAACACTGGAATATTAACCTGTGATCTAAATCCTATTGAGCATCTTTTAAGGAAGTAGTGGACCAAATACTTGCTAAGAGGAGCAGAAGTCTCATTGGCAGTTAAAAGAAATGTCTGCTTGCAGTGTTTGCGCAAAGGTTGTGCAAAAAAAAAAAAAAAATCAAAAGATGAAGCACTCATGTAAGAGATGAAATCTGTTACATAAGTGCTTCATTTTTTTTTCATCATTCTTTTGAAGCATAGCTTAAAAGCACTGTCTGACCTCCATTTCTTAATTTTCATATATATTTACATTCATTTTTACTTACTATCAGAGTCAAGTTATTTCTGTGGTCATTGTGTTTTTTTAACAAACAAGGGGAACAATTTAGTTTGTATATTTTTTTACAAAAGAAAAAATTATGTGTTAGAAACTGAAATTTCTATCTACTATTATTAAGGAAGCACCTGTGCTGTGACACTGCTAGGGTTTGTGTAGAAAATGTTTTGCCTCTCCATATCATCAGTGTTCATTTTAACATATGGCATTGATACCAGGAAGTAAAAAATCTCTGCTGTTTGGGTTTAACAAATTAATACTCAAGGATAAGGATGATACAATAAAAAATTATAGCTTTTAATCAACTAGCTGGTTGCAGTCATAATCAGGTTGTTAACTCTATTTTCCATGGATTCCTAATATCTGTAAAAGTATCTTTCCTTTAAACTCCAAAATACATTTGGGAAGGTTTTGTATTTTGCAAGAAAGAATTAAGAAACTTTCCAGTTGCAATTTCAAAGCAACATTTAGTCTAATCACAAATTAATATTATTTTCAGCTTATTATTTCTTGATGATTTGGTGCGTATTCTAAATAAAAAAAACACTTCCTTCTTTAGTTTAATTAAGTCACAGGATCTCCTCCTCTCAGGTTCTGCGGCCCTTGGGTCAGTCGGCCTCTCTGCCCCTTGGTTTCTCCCTATGTGGGAGGCTGCAGTGTTGGCCTGAGAGGCTGGGAAAGTCCTGTGATTTATGGGCCTTTGCAGGCCTGACTGCCTCTCTGATGATGGAACCAGAGGTAACGAGGTTCGCTCTCTCCAATCCACTTTGTGTTTGGCAAATTAAGTTTAATTCTGTTGAGATTTAAGGCCCCTTCACAGCCTCTGCAATATAATTTCCATACTGTGGGTGGATAAAAAGGTAGAGCTTTGTTCCTCTATACCGTCTGTAATACCATTTCAACTTTACAAAAACATAACAGTTCTCTAATTTTATTAAATAAGTAAACCAAGGAGTGATATGGATTAATATTTACCTGGTGAGTCTTTGCCCTGGCCAAGTGTCCTAGGCTGCTGGATCAACAAAAATCTAATACGCAGTAGCAGCAAACATGCATACAGAACACTAGACCAAAGCCCACACTGATGGCTGAATCATTATGAGGCCCATTTCGAAAGGTTATGCACTTGTCCCAGACTACATCAGAGGCCCGGGTGGCTCTAGCATATTAAAACCAGCCAACCTTACATATGAGAAGGGACTCGCACAATGCACACACAGCACTGGCAGCAGGGCAGTAACTCAAGGCCAAAGGAGGAGGGTTATTTTTATCATGGGCAAAGGTGCCAAATCATGTTGGTATGAAGGGGGCTATATAAATGCAAATTGTATCGGTGGGCTATTAGTCCTGGAAAAGGTTTGTATGTAAATGCCCTTATAGGACCAGAGCGGAGCACTCATCCAGGTCAGATTAGCCGGGTTTGTGGCAAATGTGCTGCAAAAAGACATAAGCAAGAAAGAGACAGGGAATGCTATTACCTTATGGTGAATTGTGAAGAACAAGGTGGGAATTCGAGTAAATCAATGGAAAGGTGTTTATCTGCAATGTATTGGATTGGCAGGACAAATGGGTTAAAGTCAGCTTCTTGTGCACATGCAAGGAGTTTTTCCCACTGAAACTGTTTAAGACCATTAAGGGGTTTCTTTTTTTTTTTTGCACAAAACCAGAAGCTTAACTATAGAACAGAAGGTCCAAGTTTGAAATAGGAAGACATTAAAGGGAAAATGTTTAGCTCAAAACTTATAAAATGCTTGCCAAGGCCATCTTTCTGATTTTATCGTGAATATATACTTTATGTTTGTTCATAAATAAAAATGAACCAAACTAGTGGTTTGTCAGGGATCATGATCATAAAAAATAGATGAACCATGGCAAAAAGATTCCCTACTACCCATGTTAATAACAGGATGTGAGCAGAGGAAGAAGATGTTTGCTGATACAATGTCGCCCTCTAGTGATAGGTTAGATTTCTAAGATTCATTTAGAAAACTACATAACGAATTGCTTGGATTCACATAATAATTAAGATTTGAACAAAACCATATATTCATATACAAACACTGGGCCCGGTTACAGCTGTAATATCTATTTTGTAGTCTACTGGAATTTCTTATATATCAAATATTTTTTTATTACAGTTGTATAAGTAAGAAAAATACTAAAGCCAATCACTGCTGCATTATAGGGATTCAAAATTATTCCTCAGATCGAATTTAAAGTGCTTCTTTGTGTTGATCATGTCTCCCCGGTTATCTCTTCCGAAACTTTATATTTCTGCAAACCCAGGTCATCCCGTCCTGTACAGCAAAGAGAAGAGAAGAGACAAACATCCTGATTACGCTGGTATACAGAAACCTGCTTAAAAAAAAACACACCCCTTAAAACTCTTTCACTGTTTGACATCATACAACTACAAATCCCCAAATCCTGGGAATTTAATCTTGAAAGGCACAAAGTAGCAGATCTTTTCAGAAGTCAAACAAAATAAAAGGTTTTCAGTTTGTTTTTCAGAAATGAAACCTGAAATATTTTGATGAAACTCTTCTACAATATGTCCCTATGCATGCCTTGAAGCGTTTTTTTCCCTTTTTTGCAACATAGCTCATGCTCATTCAAACTGCATAAAGAGCATCCTGCTATGCACATTTTAATCATAGCAGACTCTTTTAGATGCTTTCAGACGCTTTTCGGTCAGACAGAATTAGGCCTGGACTTAAAAAACACATGACTATACTTACATGTTTAGGGTTACTGATCTGCTAGAAGTTGAACAGAACTAACAGTATATTTCCCCCTATATTAATCTGTATTTACAGCAATGTATCTTCCTATCAGTTCTTAAATGCTTCACTGTTTCTGCTGAAGTAAATCATCCCCACAGCATCATGCTGCCACCACCATGTTTTAAATCACAATGTTAGTTTCCTCACACATGCATGAAGACTTTTTTGTCTCACCTAACAACAACAACTTCTTCCATGTTTCTTCGTTGTGTTCCCTACAAAATGCTAATCTGATCTCATGTCGTTTTCAACCAGCAAAAGGTTTTCTCAACTGAACTTTTGATCTTTGCAGCTCCTCCAGAATTGCTATCTTTTTGTTCCTCTGCTTAATCCTTTCCTTGCCTAATCTGTCACCTTATTAGTATTTGAAAGTTTGAATTTCTAAACGGCTTTTTCCATTTCAGAGACTTAGACTAAGAGTGCTCCCTGGGTCTTTCAAATGGTCTCTCTAAACACTGGACCTCATTTAATTATAATTAGCTTGTGGTGTTTCAATACTGATTTCATGTGGCTGTGGTTCTTAGTGTTCATGATGCTGTTTGTTTGCTGATGTTCTTTAACAAACCTCTGAGGCCTTTATAGAACATTTGGATTTGTACTGATGTGGTTGTAGGATGCGAAACTGTGAAAAAGTTTACTTGTATAAAGGTTTTTGCTCAGGAATAGGTGATGTACTTTAGCGAGACATCCCCAAATGTTTCTCTAGAAGTTAGAACCAGCATGAAGACGATGTATTGCTGTTTTAGGCAGGACTATAGTCATGGTGTGGAGATTGTCAAAGTAAATAGTAAATATGGGCTAAAGATGTTGATAGTAAGCCTACTGTGACTAATTGCATGTAATTACCAGAGCTCACTTTTTTTTTAATTCTTGTGACGTCAAAGCAACAAATGTCTCTATACTGAATTAAAAAACTAACCACGCAACACAGTTGTTGTTACTCATCAGCAAACTCTACTTTTACCTGTTCTTCCTGCTGTGTTTGCATTTTACACTGTATTTACCTGCACTCCCTCAGCAGTGAGTGCTGAGCAGGCCTGCACCTGCCACATGCGATCCCGGATGGTGTGCAGGTTAAGACTCTCTGCCAACTCTGACGCCGGAGAGGCTGTCATCAAGTCCTGCTTGTTAGCAAACACGAGCAGTGGCACGGCTGCAAGCTTTTCTTCCTCCAGCAACTCTGCAAGTTCCTGGGAATAAAAAAAAACAAACAAACAGATGTTCTTTGGTGATGATATTACCGTTTGCAATAACTGAATCATTAAATAAATTAGCTTTTCTTTGTACTGAAAAAAATGTCTAGTGATTACCAAAACTGAAAATGTGTTGATGTTTTTTTTTTTGTCGGAAATATTTCATAAAATCTTACCAAACTTGTCTCTTCAAACCTTTTCCGGTCTGAGCTGTCAATCACATAGATCTGGAATCCAGTGGCAAAGAAGAAAGATAATATTTTAGGTTGATATTCTAAAGACTTATTTGTAAAGGTTCAGCTTTACTGAGAAGTAGTCTTCAACCTGCTGATGGCCAAAAGCTAAGTTCATCTTTGTAATATAATTTGCACAAAGAATTAAAGTTGCATCATATCCACTCTTAGGGATGATGTTGGTAGCATCATGCTATGGGCTGATTGCGTTCATAATGCACAAAATAAGAAGTAGGACTGCCTATGATTTCATTTTTTAGCAGCACTATGATCACAAACAGGCCCTTATCGTACCTTGGTCCTGATGAAAATTTTAAGGCTATGCTTCCCACAGTCCATATTAACTTAAATTCATGTTGAAACTAGTAATAAAATAGAGCTATACCAGATAGTTTTTATTGGTACGAAAAGTATGGAGTATTGATGTTATTTTTAGAATTGAAATAACATTCCTCACTATGACCTTAAGTTTTGACCATCACTACATATTACTTGATCTTTAAATGGGTAGAAACATGCAGGATGAAATCATAAGACTGAACCTACCAGCACATCCGTGTTCTCAAAATAATTCCTCCAGTACGGACGAATTTTGCGTTGCCCTCCGATGTCCCAAACATTTAATTTAAACCCAGAGGACTGCACACTCTTTATATTGAAGCCCTGTTGAAATGTAACATAGATTTTGCTTAATGCATCCTCTCGCTAAGGGAGGGAGCTGATGTCTGACATGACTGCCAAGCGAATCCGGTAAAGAGTGGATTTGCACAGTTTAAGAAACTATGAGTGCTTCTGTATGTGAGTGTACATCACTGTACTTGTGTGGGGGTGATGTGGCTGATATCTTCAGCTGCCAGTTGTTTCAGCAGGGTGGTCTTGCCAGCGTTGTCCAACCCTAACAGCAGTAAGCGCACCTCACACTCTGGCGGCTGCTTTAGTCTCCGAAGAATAGATAGCAGGCCCTGAATGAGGATCACACAGCACATTAGAAACTGTTAAACCTCCATGTGGCTGCAAGTAATGAGATGACTTAGCAGTGTCTTCTTAACTTTTAATGACCTCAGAAGGCAGTCTGAAGGCGACGCTCAGTCAGCAACTAAATAAGCAGGTCTGGTTGCGGCTCTAGATATGATCCATTAGTGCTTCATACATGGTCAAAGAACGCAATTTAATCTTGTGCTCTAGATTAACTCAGACAGGGAAATATATCCATCTGAGTGGAAGATTTATTACAGTTTGGAATGGCAATTTTAAAGGTTTCTCACCAAACCCTACATCAAAATCCAATATGGCTCCCCTGCATAAAAAACTTAGAGATATTTGAGGTGAAAATCTATAATTCACACATTGAAAGATTTATCTGATACAGCATCAGAGATAATATAAAACACTGAGAAAAATATGAATTTCTTCCTATGCTATTAGCAGTTAGCCATCGTCCTAAATTACATTGACTAGAACTTGAAGCGCATTAAAGTTAGATTAGTTATAGTTAGAATAGGTTTGGTTTGATTTCAATCCAAGTTCTAGCTCTTTCTGAAGGGGCAAATAGAGTACAATTAGACACCAATACTTTCATCTGATCTGGATTGCACAGGGAAATATCAAAATGCACAATGTTGATATGAAGATCATGTTTAAAAATCTTCTCTTTGTGAATGTTTTCCACTAATAACTACATATTCCATTTAACTAATTCCCATTTACCTTATCTACTATAAAGGCATTCCAAGTATTTTTAGGACAGTTCTAGAAGCATGGCTGTAAAAAGCAAAGGATTTAGCTGTTAGCTTTTAAAGTCGTCTATAAATGTAACAGGTTAAAGACGCCCTGCAGTCAGCGAAGATTAGGTAGCTGTTGAAAACAGTGTGCAAGGCTTTGACACAAGCAGAATATTTTAATGTGGTACAAATGCTTTATAGTCCTAATTACTTTAATACAACAAGAAATGCAAAGCACTGATATATTCAGCTGATTTTTGTACACTTTACTAGATATTATTAATGTTGTTTTTATATGTTTTTTTTATCACTTTCTACATTACAGTTTATGCTTTGGGAAATTTATTGGGTTAATTTTCTTTTATTCCTGCTGTTTTGATTTTAGGCAGACAGTTACTTAATTAACTAAGCATTATCATTTAAGTTAATTTAAATGACATCTGAAACCGTTTACTAAACTAGGTACAGTACTTGAACTTAGTGTAGAAATAAAGCTACTAGTGTTTATGACAGCCAATAGAATCAACACCTGTCTCACCAACTTTACTAAGACATATTTATACCTCTGATAAATATAACAGACTAAATCAGCCTATAGTACTTTGAAATATAAGTTAGGCCTCTTGGGTTAAAAATGTCCTTTGCTGCAGATAAGAATGAAGATAACTCACCATACTGTCCACAGGTCCTTCTGTGGCCGTTGCTCGGCCTGAGTGGATTAAGATTTTCCTCACCATGTGTCTCGGCTGAGGGCTGCCAAGGATTTGCCGCAAGGAAAACTGTAACATCAGCAAAAGCAAAAAGATAGAAAATGTTTATGTTTCTGTAATGTTGTTTCTGTGATGATGACGTTCTTGATAAAGAACTTTATAAATGGGTTACATTCATATGTATATACATAAAAAAACAAACCATGTCCAATTTAAATTCATTCCAACACACAGATCTAATCCAACTAATTACAGCAAATTATATCAACTTGTAAAAAAAAAAAAAAAAAAAAAAAAAAATATATATATATATATATATATATATATATATATATATATAATCCGACACAAATGCTTAACATGTGGAAATAGGAAAAAGGAATTTCTATCTATTATGTTCCTGTTTTTATATGGTTTTTCGGTCAGACAGCGCCCCCTACCGTTTGATAGCCGTTTCAGATTTATATCCGTACTGGGGAGTGTATCTCGGTCAAACAACAAAAACATGTCAGAGTGTGACAGAGTGAACCGTTAGCAACGTTCAGTTATCTGCCGTCTCTGCTGCGGGGCGTCTATCCGACTGACTGCTATATGGTTCCCGTCGTGTTCACGACCGATAACCCCGAGAGATGCAGCATAAAGCACTGGGATCCATTGTAGGTCTTCTTTGTACCGGGACCTGTCTGGTGCAGGTAAGCCCGTATTTAGAGCCCACTTTGTCGGCGTAAGCCTCCACTCCAGCCCGCTGCTCTCGGACTGGGCGAAGGCCTCTTTTTTTGTGTGTGTGTCTCCACCACAAAGAAAACTGCAGGTTCGCTTCTCTTTACCGTGGGTGACGTCAGTTTGCCAAAGTTTTTCATTACATTTGAAGTCTTCTTTCAATACCTGGGTTTATTTTATATTCAAACTACAAGTACAATGCTGTTCCAAGGGCAGATTTTGACAGTTCAAATCGAAGGTGTTTAGATTAACGTTAGCCTTTTTAGCTAGCGGATACCCGGCGAATCGACATATTTATTCATAGCCGTTAGCTCGGAACACTGAGTAGGCAAGTTATTCACATAACTTTCCAATTTATCTATTTAAAAAAAAAAAAAACTTGGTCCGCGCAGAGTTATAAGAAAATTGTCTCTTTACAAAACTGAAGTGCTTTAGTATATTTTTAAATATTAAAACCTGAGTTTGACAGTAGAGGAATGTGGAATTCTCAGATTATTTATTTTCTACCACTATTATGTGTTAATAACGATATTCAGTTGGAGGATAATAACTCATAGTTTGTATATTTGATGCTACATTGTTTATGATACGTTTTAGTTAGTGCTTTTACTTAGTAGTTTGCTAACGTGTTGTATACAAAGCAGAAAAGTACATTTAAAAGCTGCATATATATGAAATGTTCAAATATATAGAAAGTGACATTGAAGTGACAGTGAGAAAGGGCAAGCTGCCCTAGCTTTGCATTTGTTTACTTTTGCACTTGAGTGTTTCCTGTTCTTCTATGTTTACCTCTCTTTCTAAAGGGAAAGGAGTTCTGTTCGGGGGTAAATAATGAACAGTACCGCTGTGAGATGGGCTACTGCTGTGGAGAAACAGAGTGCTGCACTTACTACTACGAACTATGGTGTAAGTACAGCTGGAAAGCCTGTGGTATTATACGTGGTTGCCAAATAGAATAAATGAGAAAAAGAAATTTCCTTTTACCCCTTGTTGGCTTCCTCTTCACATACTATATAGACCCTGTATTCGTGGGAGTCAGACAAAGTTAACAAGATTTGTTTTCAGTTTTTATTATGAAGGAGTTTGATTTTTTTTTTTTTTTTCTTGTTAGGTCTGTACAAGCATGGAAAATATCTATTTATTTGCAGACCTCACTGCTATTTATATTTTTTCCTTTTGTACCTCAATACTGTATTCATTCTTCCATCCATGGGCAGTTCTAGACGGGGGCCAACAGGGGCCGGTGCCCCTGTGGTAACAGTCCTGGCCGCTTCTAAAGACGTAATACTAAATAAATGTCTATTTACAATATGCACTGTCACAGAAAACCACTGAGTATACCTTGAAACAATTGATCTTTTTTTACAGTTAATTAAGATCTTAATTATAATATAAAATGCTATTTGTTCCTCTTATTTTCTCTCATAGGCTCAAGTGTTTATCTGCTAAATATTAGGTCTCCATGGTTGCTAATGGCTCTTTAGCTCACTTAAAAAGTCAAACTATGGATTAGGGCTGAAACAATTAATCAGATTAATTGATTATTGAACTAATCGGCAACCAATTAAGTAATCAATTAATCGTTAACTGGAGTATAGAGACTCTTATACATGCCTTTAGCTGATAGAGCAACCCACTTAGAGCAGTAATGATATCCAAATTGTAAAAAAATAAATAAACATTTTGCATTTAAGATATAAAAAAAAACATTTTTGTCTGTCAATATGCTCTATCCAGAACTCCTCTAGAGGAAACGTTTTAGTTTCACCTGTTTTAATCTCATAAAAAATCTTCTTTAAGGAACCTTTGCATGTCCAATCAATTAATCAAAAAAAAAATAATCGAGAGATTACTCGATTTGCTCAATAATAATTAGTTACAGCCCTACAATGAACTATTGCCTTGTTTTTTTGTTTTTTTTTTGTTGGCCCCACCTTGCCCTCCCGGTAAATTTGGTCCATCCATCCATCCATCCAACCATCCATCCATACATCCATCCATACATACATATATATATATATATATATATATATATATATATATATATGTATTTCATTCATCCATCCCTTACTCTAGAAGCATCTTTAAGCATACTGATTGAATTTCCTCCAAGTTTAACAACATTAAACCTAATCTCTAATATTTGACATAACATTCTAACTCTTTTAACTATATAGGTATAGAATTAAAAGGTAGAAAAAAATGTATGACTTTCCATTTTCGCTTTCTTATGTTACTTAAAAGTTAATATTCTAAATGATTTTAGTGCCTTTTCTTTCATTTCCTCTAGCAAGATTTAAGAGTTTTCCTTTCTCCTCATTAGTTGTTTATAGCCTTTGAGAAAAATACTTTAATAACCAACACAGTGCCATACAGCAATGATGCAAAGATTAAACTGAGGCTGTTCCCTCCCACAGGGTTCTGGTTGGTATGGACACTTATCATAATGCTCAGTTGTTGCTGTGCCTATCGACACCGGAGAGTTAAAATGCGTCTGCAACAGGAACAGCGACAACGTGAGATCAGCCTAATGGCCTATCAAGGTGCTTCAACCTCCTTCATAACCCCTCCGCCTCTCAGTTTAAGTAAGTAATCTTAGAATTGCCTTGCATAGGAATATTGTACACCACTCAGGCTTTTCCCAATTTAGTCATGATACAACTGCAATTTTTTTATTTTATTAAGAAATTGTGTGGCAAACCAATACAAAGTACTGCATGGTTGCAAAGAGGAAGGACATAAGTACTTAGTTTCTAGTCGGCTTTCTTAAAATAAATGTCAAAAAAGTGTATTAGTACTCAATACTTTTTACTGTTGTAACCCTAAATAAAATCCAGTACAACCAGTTTCTTATGGATGTGTCTTCACTCATTCTGTACATAAAGTCAATGTTTTTGTAGTTTAACCTCTTTGCAATTACAACTATTCTGTTGAATATAACCCAACCTATGGAAGAAGAAAGCAAACGGTGTTACAAAGACAAAAAAAACCCTCAGAAAACACATCAGACAGGACTCGGATAAGGATGTAAAGTTTAAAGCAGCATTTATTTTGTATCCTTGCGCTAACCTGTTTATTTAGCAGAGCTCAGATTCATTGTAACTATGGAGGAGCTGCAGAGATCTACAGCGCAGGGAATGTAGATTGACTAATAGTAAATTGTAAGAAAGAAGCAATTGAAAGAAAGACGTATAACTCCTGTTTAATGTTTCCCACAATTCTTCAAGGGAAATTAGTAAACTGGTTAAATGTGACAAACTAAAAGAGTCACAAAATATCTTACCCTTTTGCCTTTTATGGCCCAACTTTGTATATTGAATGTAATTTGCCTAATATTAATGTTTTAATGTTTATAGCTATTGAGTCCTTTACCTAATAAGATATGATTCTTTCCCATTTACCTTTTTTCTTAATAAATAAAGCCATAACTTCACAATTGTCCTGATATTGTCCTTATTGGCTGAAATCTTTTGTATCTTAAAGTTGAAATGGAAGCAGTAAGAGTCAGCAGCAGAGCTGTCCCCTTAATGTCATTGGTTACTCTAAGCCAACCAGGAAAAGGATATCATGTCCATTAATATCTCAAATGGCAGTGGGTCAAGCTGCACATTAGTTGGTGTCTAAAGCCCACAGCCAGCATGCTTGACTTTGAGTCAAGAATTAGAACACAACTCCCAACTGCATGCATATGTAGACAGTGACTCACAAAGACACTATGACAACATCTAGTCTTGTAGGCTGTCCTTGCAGATGTCTAGAAATAATGGAAACAAAGCCATCTTTGCAAGAAAACAAATAATAATAGTAGTAACAGTTTCAGCGTGAGATGTGGGCCATTATAAGATTGTGTTCTTTTTGTAACAAACAAAACCAACCAAATAGTTTGCAGCACTTAGATGAAAATCCCTTTTCCTCCACAAAATAATTTAATTAAAACACTCATGTTGTCGCTGTGGTAATAAGTCCTTATTGGGCTGTTTCTTGCACTGTAATCTTTGCATCTCCTTACAAACATGTCAAGACAGCAATTTTCTGTAAGTGATAAGTGGCGCTGTCTAAGCCATGCCTCAGACTTTTCCCATTGCCTTGCTAGCTGAGCTGTTTTAAACAGCAATCTCTTTTAAGTTTTTTTTTTTTTTTTCCCCCAAGTGTGGCGAAATTCTCATGGATCAGTGTCTTTGGTCGTCATAAACAGCTCGGTGACGGACTGTCCTCTGATGGGGGCGGGGCGAGTGTAACTTTATGCTGCACACAACCTGATGGACTGCACTTTGCAGCACTGGAGAAAAACTAATTTTACAATGGAAAATTTGTAACCGTTACTTATTTACAACCAGCTAAAACCTTTAACTCACTCTCAACGTAGGTAAGGTGAAAAATGTTAGGGCTGCTGGGGTTTTTAGACTTTCAATCTTTTAGAATGCTTTATAATGATTAAAGTAGTTCCAGAGGTTTATAAAAGGTAGATGTTTTTCTTTTTGTTTGTTAGCATGAAAATGATATGACTTGATACATTAAATCAAACGAGTTATTCCTGTTAGTATCTCTCAGCTTGGAACCCTGGGGGTTTATCTTTAACTAAGATAACCCACCAGAAAAGGAGCAGTCTATACAGCTACTCGGTGAAGAAATCATGCAGACTGTCATTTTTTTTACTTTTCTTGAAACAGTTTTTACCTTCCTATTGACTCAACAGAATGATCACCTCTTTACCCTTTTAAAATATTTTTACCAGTTGCTAGTTTGGGGTTATAATAGACCTGACCCCTAAGATGAGCTAAAAATGCTCTGCGGCTAGCCCAGTCTCTGTTATTCAGTGCACTGATGAATGACAGCTTGGAACAACCTGTAGTTATAAAAACCTAACTTCTGGCAGCTTTCAGTCAGATCGTTATTCATGTTCCAGTTGGATGTTGTCATTTCTGCTCTGGTTCTGGCTGGCATTGTTATTCAAAACATGATTGTGAAAGCCTCAATGTTCTCCACACTGCCTGTTTTATACGTAATGGCAAAATGCTGGTGATGCGGATTTCAGAAGTAAAAAGATGATAGTGATTTGTTTTCTTAATACTCCTAATAATGGTAGGTTTTATTGCTCCTTAATTTTCAGTTCAATAATTGGACAGCTGGGTCAGATATACTGATATATGGAATTTTTCTTATTACATATCAATTTAATGGACGAAATCTAACAGCTTGTTTTATGGTCCTTAGGGTTTTGGAATGACTGCAAGCTTCCCGACTATGAAGAGGTTGTAGGGCACCCCCCAACCCCGCCCCCGCCGTACTCTGAAAACCCCCCTGAGTCGACTCCAGCGATCCCTCCACAAATAACCCAGCCAGTTTCTGTCTCTCTGCCACAAATGCTGCCCGACGCAGAGCCAGCAGCGGACTGTCAGGCATCAAGCGTCTCGTCAGACGAGGGGGCAATGTCACAACCTGTCCAATCACTGTGTCGGGAAGAGGAGGATGTGGATGTTCTGCTTCTGGGGGCTGCGGCAGACGAGGAAGATGAGGAGCTTGTAACTCGACGCCGGCATGTAACTGGCGACTCAGGGATCGAGGTTTGCGTTTGCCAGCTGGACGTCGACGAGGGCTCGGGGCTCGAGGAAGAAAGCGACGAGGAGAACCGGATGTGCAGAAGCAACGGCGGGGAGTGCTGCTCTGGACGTCCTCAGGAGACCTTCAGACAGAAGGAGTGCACCCCGGAGCTGCCCAGCCAGGCCCCCAACACCAGCACTGGAGACCACCTGGTGTGATCCACAGCATAAATAACCAGCAAACCGATGCAGCTTCCAGCTTCACGCAGGGTGATAACGTTTGCCATTATCATTGGCACGGGGAATGTTTAAGCTTTATTCCCCTGGACTGACATTAACAAAACGATGATGATGACTAATCAGTTTGGGTTCTGGTTTAGGACAGATTTAGTAAGAATGTGAGGAACATCTAGCTCTTTTTTCACTACTTTTCACAGTGGGGAATCCAACAAACATTTTTGCTGCTTTGTTGGGTATATTTTTACCTTCCATCCAGAGTGAAAACATCACAGAATATGAAGAGAAAGAAAGCGGTTGCTTTGGACTGAAAGTAGAAGAGGCAGTTTCACCCTTCCCTCTCATACAGCGCTGCTTTGCGGTTTTTGTTTCTGTCCCACATCCTCGTAGATCAGAACATTTCTGCCCTATCCTCCCAACTGAGATATAACCTCTGGATTGACGGCTGTCCAGAACACGGTAAACAACATCTCTCGGGCAGCCGTCGTGACTGAAATGAGGGAAGAACAAACGTCTTTAACAGTCATTTTGAAATTAGAACCAGATCTTTTTTCTTTTTCTTTGTTTTTCCCAAAGCTTAATGCGTTTAAGTACTGAGGGCTCGCTGTGAAATCTAGGCCACAGCTGCGCAGTGATGTCATCTCTAAGGTCATGGACGCCATTGGTTGGGAGGGGGGGCTGAACACTTGAGCAGAGAAGACATCCCTCTTGTGTTTTAAATGTCATCCTGATCTCTTCTTTTGTTTGAATTTCATGTTGTCACCAGAGCTTGGTGGTTTCTAATTAGACGGGTGAAGAGGATCCTTAGCATTTACTAACATGGGGAAGTTCTTTTCCAATAAAAACCTTGCGGGGAGCTTTATGTTACCATTCAATTTAACTTGTTATCTTGGAGGGAATTGTATCATCCAGTATAGGGATGTTTTTGGTCATTGTTGAAGGATGTAGTAGCTCTTTGCTTTCCCATCACATAACCAGCTCTGCTTCAGTAAAAGCTACAGGTGTCGGACATTCATTCAGGCAAACCTCCTCGCTGTGGCAGTGGGTGTGTGGGGCACTAAATAAATGGATGCTTTTGAGATCATTGAAGTGGACTAACAATTAAAAGCACTGATTTTGTTCCTTTTTTCTATTTTTATGCACGAGGCGTGTCTTGGTGTTTCATATTTGAGTGATTTCACATTTTCCGTCATTTTCAATACTTTCTTCGGTCATCATTTATTGGTGATCTCTGCCTGAAGCGGTGAATAAAATTAAATTACACTTTTTTTCGGTAAATAAAAAAAAATGGGTTGATTCATCTTTGGATGTCTTGATGTAGTTTTTATTGATAACTGGTAACTAGGCAGCTGGTGCCGTTGTGGGTGTGTGTTTTTTCGATAGCTGTTGTCGGTGTGAGGGATTTGTGGTGGCATTTTTCCACTGGCAGTATAGGGCCAGTAGATTAGCAAGTCGAGATGGTTGCATCCTCTGCTCGGCAGTTGATTTAGTTTTGGCTCGCCCACAGAAATGCTTGCAATGAACTGCATGTTCCACACCAATGCATGTGGCTTGTTTCCTAAACTGTTGTTTGCATGCTTAGAAAATGAACTAACCAGTGAGAGATGGGTAGGCAGCAGGAGAGTGAGGCTCCTGCACAGAAAACTAAAGCTTGTTAAGAATGATCAAGCTTTTTCTGCTGCAATTGTATGAAGACTGCAGTCCTGACTACATAAGCACATGCACACACTGGCTTCTTGGTAATATCAGCCTCTGAAATATTCCATGTAGGCATGGCCCAGCATGTACAAAAAACCTGTTAGAATTCCTGTTTAAATGCTATTTTAATTTGGATTCCTATTAAGAACCAATAAGTAATAAATGTCACAGGGGAAAAAGAGGTGTGCAGCAGCAGGCTGGGAACAGTAGCACTGTATTACACTGAGCCTCAAGAAGCTGCTGAAAACTTCCATCAAATCTCCTTCAAGTATCTTGATGCCTGTAATTTGTTCATGCCTACTGGTGTATTTTAAAATGGGGTTATTGCCTGAATCAGATGACAGCAGTCCGACTTTGTGCAAGAAGTATACAGGCATGGGGGAATGCATACCAACAGTTCAGTCCTGTCTAAACAGGAAGGCCTGCTCCACACCAGAACCTGTATATTCGTACTTAAAGTGCACATTATAGTGAAATGTCTGGGCTTGTGCAGATCAAAATGAAAGTGTTTCCTCTCCCACCAGCCTGCAGCAGCTTTCTTCAGGCTGTGGTTCAGTTTGAACACTGCTGTGGCTAGAGAATGTAGCGACACACAGCGACTGCACAGAACGTGTCGGGACAGAACGATCCACGTTTACACAGGAGATCAAAACTTTACCCGTCAAGGTGCGATTGTGATGCATCACTCAGCAGGTGCTTGAACACGAAGCCATTCTAACACGACGGTGACCTTTTCAGAGGTGCGGTGTCAATGTAAGCATGGCTGCAGACCTTTAGGCAAATTAGATAACGTTTGTTTGTTTTTGTTGTTTTCTTTTGGTGTTTTTTTTACAGCAAACCTTAAACATCCTTGTTGCATTTCTATAGGGCAGATGTCTTGATTTGAGTTCCAAAATAATATATAACATCTGTGTGTGAAAACAAGTGTAATACTGCCTTATTAGAGTAGATATAAAGTGTTTTTTTTTTTTTTCACAAGTTGTAATATTTGTGAAAGCATGGTTGTCTTAGAGAGCAGAGGAGCACTGTTGTGTCAGTAGAAGGTAGTGTTTAATCTCATCCTTGAAATATTGGCTGGCTCTCTGCATAGAGGATGTGGTATATAAACATTGAAAAACCACTGAGATGAGGTGGTTTTGTTGCTGAGAAGTGGTTGTTGAGTTAAAGATACTCTTATCTAGTTAGCTGTGGCACTGATGAAATGTGTTCAGACCAGATTTTTCAGTTTATGCTCTTGTTTTTGTTCGTTTCTGTGTGTGTATGTATTTGAAAGCAGTTGGTTTGTTCTATCAGACTCAGAAGCATGATAAAAATCAAGGTTGCGCTGTTACTGTTAGTATGTGGGTGGGAGGGGATCGTTGCTCTCAGTGCCTTGAAAAATATTCACGCCCCTTTGAAAGTTTTCCACATTCTGTTTTTGAACAACCACAAATTTCGTTGTATTTTATAAATTGGGGTTTAATGTAAGAGACCAACACAAAATAGTGCTTTTTTAAAAAAGATTTACACTAATAATGTTGATAATGTTGCTGCTTTTACACCAGCAGTTCCTGAGGTGTAGGTTTCTAAACCAATTTGCACATCTAGAGAATATACGTTTGCAAAAAACAGCCATGCACTGTCAGATTGGATGGAATCCATTTGTTAACATAAAATTTCCAAGCTTTTTGTTTTTGGGTCTTGTTTTTCCTTATAAACTGGGCCACATCGAATATGTGTATATATAAACCATTCCATTAAAGCTCCTGCTTTTGGTTTAGTGTTTTCTGCTAGACTGTTTTTCTTTCTCCAGCCTCAAAGAGGTGTTCTTTTGACCTGTGAGGGTTTTCTTCTTGACACTTTTCAACATACAGTCAGGAACCCCAATCAAACATCTGAGCCCTAACAAAGCAGCTGTATGTATAGTGAAATACTCTGTCGAGTAATTATGTGACTAAAGAAAGTGACTGGTTGCACTTGGGGTGTTAGAATATAGAGATGTGATGCAGTTTTGTAAACAAAACAATCTTTGAAGACCCCTTCTTTCCACGTCAGCAATGCGCTGCTTTGTGTTGGTCTACGCCACAGTCTATATAAATACCTCAAAGTTTATGGTTAAAATGTGACAAAATTTGGAAAGTTTCCAAAGATATGGATACAAGGCATGGTGCGTATGTACATATTTAATAAGAGCAGGGGAGGGCAGTGAGAAATGAGGTTAGGTTAGGGGTTCTTTTATATCTCCTTTCTTGGTTTTCATATATTTCCTGAGACTAAGGGCTAAATATTGGTAACGCGTTGTCTGCAGACATCCATGTTCTTCACTGAAGGATTGTGTTCTTCTCTTTTGAAACCACCATCACAGTGATCCACTATCTGAAACGTAGAGACGTGTAAAGTGAACTTTGGGTGTTCCCTGATGCGGTAGAGCTCATATTTATATATTAGCTGATTGTGTATTAACATGTTTGTTCTGCTTTAGGCTTTATCCTTGCCTTGTTGTCAGAGGTGCGTGATGATGACCTCATACCACATGTATGCTCAGTGAAAACATACATTACTGTCTGCTTGTGTGGATGTGTCCTTCATAAGAAACAGGCCACATCCATCCATATAGATCTGCTAAAGCCCTTCTACATTTCCACACTTTAAACGCTCCAAGCTAGAAGTTGTTTTTTTGTTCACTCTCAGGGTTATAATTGAGGAAAATAGGAGCTAGAGTAGATTTCTAACCCTCCGTCTCTTAAAAAGCCAAAGGAAACGCTTCAAGATCGTCCCGTTCAATATCCCCTCCCCTACATCACGCATCTCTGTAAACTTTACTCAACTAGGCTATGCAAACATAAACTTACTGTTATATGCTGCGACTCCCTTTCTGTCAGTTGTCTGTGGGCACCAGTACAAGCAATATTAACTGTCAGTACTGATGGCACTTCGCTGTACTGTAATCAATGAATTTGTATGTATTTCTTTGGAAAAAGAGTTTAAAAATATGTACTTGTAATGCTACTTTAATGACATAACTCTGTATGCTTGTGTCTGCTGAGGGGCTTGAGTTCAACTGTTTTAGCTCACATGCCTCCTTTTGTTTTTGCTGTTTGTTATATCTGTCGCCCTAAATCAACAGTACTTTCCACTCCTGACTCATGGACGATGAACCACATGTTGAAGCTGTGCACTCAGAGAAACGTTGATTATTTTTTCTTGCTGCTCACATTTTTAAATGCGGCTTTCTTCTCGTTTTCAACCCTTGTGGAATTTCAGAGAATATTTAACCGTTGCCTTTAATCCTCTTAATACAGCACCATGAGTTTTATATAATATACACATGAAAGACCTCAACGTGGAACACAGTTGGGTTACAGTAAACCAGCACATTTTAGGCTGAATTCCTCGACATTTAACCTAAAGAATTATTTTTTTTTTGGCATCTGTAATCTGTATATTTTAATTTTCTTCCCATATATCATACACAATGTTTGTTTTTTGCCAAAAATGAGAAACGTGTAAATCTGAAAGGGAAGCAGCCATTTACAGAAACTCAACTCTTTCTACTTTTGTTATTCTGGTACATTTAAAGAAGCCAAATTGAGTAAAGTGAAATACAAGAAAGAAAAAAAACAGCACTGACTAACGAATGAAAATGCTTCGGTTTTGGTAACAAGTCTACTGCGTACTGTCCGGGTCATCGTTTGTATTTTATTTTTGTAATAAAACAAACATTGGCGCTCTGTTCCTCGACTTTTATTTCCATACTTCAACCTTAGATCATCTTTTATGGTAAACTTTCTTAACATTTTAACTCAAAGTTTGTGTGATGAACTAAAACTTGTGATGGGGACATGTAGAGGAAAGTCTGGTCGGTTTTAATATCTGATTTTATAACCTACGCAGCAGCTAAACTGCAGACCAGTCCCTTTGTTTAAAGCAGGGTTGGCCCGCCCACTGACTGATATGCTGCAGAATAAGATAATAAAATAAAATGGTGATTTTGTTTTTTTTAATGGGTGCATTTTAAATTGAGTAATTATGTAAACTTATGAGGCATTTAAATGTTAATCTGATTTATTGAATCAATAAATTCAGAATGAATTAACAACATCCAACTGAATTGTGGTGCCTTTGATACTAATAACCATTTTACTGAGGAATTTGAAAACTAGCCTTTTTTTTCCCACTGAATACATGAAAAATGTCAGACTTTATGAGGGGTTGTGCTACTATTATAACAAACCAAACACCTCTTTTAGGGCTCCAAATATCTTTACCTAATTAATCATTACTCTTGCAAGGTTAGATGTCCTGCTCTCTAAATTTTAAGAGACCCACTTACTGAATCCGCAGAATCTTTTAATGCCTATGCATTGAAATAAATGCTAACCAGTTCAATCCCAAAGCTCAACTTAAAAACTTGCAGAGGCTTAAATGAATTCAGGACCATTGATTAAATACATTACATGTTTTAATAGAAAAAAACAAACACAATATAATATAAATAACAATTCAACAAAACAGAATCACATGACTATGAGATAAATATAAATAAAGATGATCTACATCAACCAGAGTGTGTGTGTATATGCCGAGTTCACAGCAATGATATTCAACACAGGAACAAAGGTAATCTTTGTGTTTGGAAATAGATAAAAGTCAGTAGCATAAAGGCTGCTTACATTCTTAAATCTTCATAAGATCTCATCAAAGAGAAGTCTCAAATAATATAGATTTAAAGGTAAATTCTGAGAGATTTTATAATTGGATGAAGCTGCATTTATTATTGGTAAAAGCAAATAGAGATAAAACATTCCTGTCCTTTAAAACTCTTTAGCACATCTTAAAATCAGTTTGACTTTGCAGAGATAAGGGCATGATATGTAAACAATGTGAACAATTAACGTAGGCTAAAAAAATTACATTCTCCAGTTCTGAAAAGCACTGAGGGGGGTTGAAGATGCAAATACGATGAAAGCCTAGTGATGTTACAATATAAGATAAAACAAATACAATAATTTTTTTTATCTGGGGGAAAGAAAAAAAGTCTTTCCAGCAAAGTTTTAGGTTCGATGTTTCAGCATGTTTTAAAGAAGGTTTTGAATCACCTTTAAAGTGTTGTTAATGTTGGCTTCATGCACTACAATTAGTGAAATCTTTATGGACTCTAATAAAAAGGCATTTGTAAACATAAAAAGAAAAATGTTCATCATTGTGCCTTAAATTTGAACTAAGTAATCAGGCAGGAATCATAATGGAGAGCCCTAAAAAGACAGCACTTTTATTATAATCTTAACAGTTCTTCGCAATAATCATAGCACGCTTGATTTTGTAAAATAAATATATAAATAAATATGAGATATATTGGGCAACCCTACAAACAATGTAACATGACTAAAGATAAACAACACATGGTATTAAATTTGGGTTCCCTGTATTAGAATCATAAAGGCTGCTCATGTCTGGTGTGTGAGAATCACAGAGGTGGATTTGTTGAGGCTGAGTTGAACTTTGAAAAGTTTAAATTCCTCCACCAGGTTCAGGTTCATCTCTTGAGTTCAAGTGGGAACCTGTACTTGGTCTCTGCCTATTTTATATTTCATTGTCAGCAAGGTTTTCACAACCTCCACTCCTCCACCGATCGGTTGGAGTGTCTTACTTTGCATCTGATCTCAGCTGGGTCTGCGGCCCGCAGCAGTTGTCACATTCCCTGCGCCCGTCGAGGCGTTCCTCAGTAGAAGCGCTTACGCCGACTCTCGTTCCACTGGCTGTAGACCACCATGCCGATAACGATGAGGAAGATGCATCCCAGCATAGAGAAGAGCACAGTGAAGAAAATGGCTATTCCGCTCATCCCTTCTTCACTCTGAACCACTGAGGGGAAAAAAAAAGATCAAGAAATTAGCATATTATATATTTAAAATATTACGTTACGTTTGTGGACAACTTACATCGGAGGAGCTCCATGTTTTCCACACTGGGGATAGTTATTACATCCTGCTCTTCCTCCTCCTCCTCCTTTTTACTTCGCAACACCGTCAGTTGGTAAAGTTTGAGGGAAATGATGTCATGGTTATCTATCAAGCCAAATCAAGAACAAGAAAATCATGTGAATAACTAATTATTATTTTATATCTTAAGAGGTTTACAAAAATCTTGATAAATGTGGATTTTCCAAAAATAAAGGCTCTTTATATAGATCAGTATAATAAGTTCAATATTGGGCTGAACATCACAGTGTGAGATTTTATATTAGTCCAGATCAATAATCATTGATTAGCTTTTGGTTGCACTCATTTAACATAAGGACCAGGGGAAAAATGCCATTTTAATTTAGAAATCAAGCAACACAGTTGTTGTTTTTTTCTTTTAATGAGATATAATGAGATAAACTTTCGACTTGTGGTATTTTGATTTAAACATAGAGCTGGTGTGTGAATATTCGGGAAGTTTAAAAAGCAAATACAGAAAAAACACAATAAATAGTTGCTTTCATTATTTTGTATTCAGTCAAAAGGATTAGAGAAAACATCAGTCAGGACTGGTGGACTAGATAACACTAGCGATGGGCAAATATCGTATTATGTATATTATGGTAAAAGTAATGACATCTAGGATTTAATGGGGCAAGAATAAATCCAACTAATGATGTCTAGAAACCCGAAAACTGACAGAAGGTATGGGATTGTTACTTTACCGGTTTGTCTTTTATCTAATGTTGCATCCCAAACAGCTTAATCAAAATCTATACGTTTGAAAGAATTGTTGCAAGTATTGTGGACCTTTTTTACTCGTTTTATCTGGTTAAATAGAAAAGCTTAGAAAATAATAGCTTTCCCCCCCAGAGTATTGTTTGCAGTAGTAGGGCTCTTACTTATCATATATATTTCCAAAAACAAGACATGTAAAGATTTTTTTTATTATTTTCTTTACAACAAATGAGTCTGTGTGAAAATAAACAGCATATTCTTCACATCTCCCATCCACAGCTGATTGTTCTGTAAAGGTTTGCTGTATCCAACAAGTTACTCCTTCCCCCAAGTGGTTATCTATAGTTATAGCAACTGATGTTGTGAGGCCTATTTTAGAGGGGCTTCAGTCTCCCTAAAATATTTCTAAGTATCCTAATAAATCAAGTAGTAAAATGTTGTTTTCCATACAGGGAAGCAACCATGGCATGTTCTTTACATAAAGCAGAAAAAATATTTTTTTTTTTTTATCCTTGCAACCATGAAAAAGTATAAATCCTGCAAACCAATATGACTGATCTTTCAGATAGCAGTATGCCTTTAGGTAAAAAAAAAAATTGAATTGACTGTATTAGTATAACAGTTTGTGATGGAAGTGTCAATTATTTACCCGACAGATCTCCAGTGATTGCTGACGCTCCAAAATAATAGCCCAGAGGAAGCCTCACTCCAGGTATATCCAAGCAGTCCCTCCACTCGTGCTGACCATCGATGTCTATCATCACCTGCCCCACAGATGCAGGTAAAGTATGACTTTCTGACCCTGAGTCTCTAGGCAGAAAAAAGAGGAAAGGATTTTCCTTACCGTCAGTCTGCGGCGGACGTATCGAATGAAGAGGAAAGTGTCGTGCTTGAGGTTGCGCACCATGGCGTTGCAGCCGCCGAGCTCGGTGGGCCGACCGTCCCGCTCATGGTCGTAGCTGATGCTGCCGTTCCCCACCATGGCAATAACATATGGGAAGATCCTCTTATGGTGACAGAAGGGAAGGAGAGAGAAAGGGAGAATCTGATTTAAACTTATTTCTTATAAAAACACAATACCATCACAAAACAATATAAATAATTAATGGCATCATGAGATATGAGCATAATAAAAAAAAAACTGAACGAATTATGAGTCTGCTAACTGTTAAAGTTCTTTATAGGTCAAAGAAGCATGAAGACAAACATTTTATTCAAATATTAATTTAAAAAACAATAATATTTTACATTGATATTGACAAAAGGTTTAAAACTAAGGACAGAATTGAAATGTTTTTGATGATTTACCAGCCAAAACATGAATAATTAGATGACATGCATAATAACATGACTGAACATAGCAATACCTCAGACTTAAAAACATTTAACAAGAAATACAGCATGTTAAAAATTCGACCAAAGTTGTGCTTATGAATAAAAATAAAAAAAATCTTCATCCAGTCTCAGTTTAAGCCTTTTTTTCCTTTTTTTTTTAAACAAAAAATGAGCCAACACAATGCCTTTAGATGCATATGGCTCATAGAGACTGATAGCATCAAAGCTATAGCTGAAAAGACCTGCAGCTGTCATAGCATGAATTGTGCTTTTGATAAATATTTACTCAGGGGGGGCTAATGTAAAGGCATATAAAGCCTTTTATACTTATTTCATCAACCATTATCTTCCATTTAAAATTATAGGTTAATTCGTATTAACCAATAACATTAAGTAATTAATGCCTGTAAAGTGACTAAACATTGAAAAAGCAATATTTACTTTTGCAGAACAACTGTAAAATTAGACATCAAATAAGCTTAACTCATCCAAATACATTTATTTTTAAAAAGACTAATAAAATGTATCTTTATTGTGCTGACACCTTTTGAAATGTGTTTTTGTTTAAGATTCCTATAAAAAATTTCTTGTTGGTAAAAACCATTTAAAACTCGCATATAAACTTTCACATATATTTAGTTTGTTTTTGTTATATTTGATATGAAATGTGTTTAATGGTTTCTGAATTGTGAAGTATATTAACATGAGTAAAACAAACCACCGAGCAAACCATGCAGGTGAGTGACATGCTTCAAAACCGGCCTAGAATTTATTTTATATTCCATTTATTTTTCTCAACAAAGAGCCAGGTTACCTGTGTGCGGGGGGTGTATCTCTTCTTCTGAGCCTGTCTCCAAATGATTGCACAAAGAACACAAATACAGACCCTTTACACCGATCTCCAACAACACCTGTCAGGGTGAGGCACTGTTTACTAACCCGACCTTACAACACAACTGAGGAAGCATACCTCTATGTGCTTCTCCTCATTGGGATACGTGTCCACAAACACACCCAGGCCAGTAAAGTTGTCCATATTTCCAAATACAGGACCTGGAGGCACATTGATATAGACTTACAGATGGGTAGAATTATATCTGTTAGCATTAGTATTATATCGAGTTCGTTTGACAGTACATCATGTTTTATCGTGATAACCTTTCTGCATGCGCTCCTTGGTATACCAGATAGCCAGGCCGTCACCATTCAGGTTCTTCTTTCCTTGCCCGTGAACCTTAAAGTGCACCTGCATCTCCCAGTCCTTTAGATGACATGGCTAAAAAAATTGGTGAAAAAAATATCAGTAAATAAAAGAACTTTTTGGAGTAAACATGTTTAAGAGTGTGAAAAAGAAACTTTTCGTTTCTCAAGAAGGTAAGGATTTAGCAAAAGGAGATCTTATAGTATCACTGAAAAAAAAAAGACTCTTAGGATGAACATAAAAAAATAATGGAAAGGATTTCCACCTGAATAATTTGCTTTATTTAAGCACTATGTAAAAATCTTACTCCAGTTTAAATTAAATGTGTTAGTTCAACTTAATTTAAATGTGTTGGCTCAACTTAATTTATTATGGTCTTTCCAATTTAAAGCAAATGTGTTGGCTCAACTTATTTTTTTGAGGTTGATTCAATTAATTTACTATAGTTGGACCCAATGTAATCTAATAGAGCCAGCCGAACTAATTAGCAAAGTTTTGTACCAAATAATTGACTTTACTTGATGAATGCAAATTTAGTTGAAACCAACTTATTATACAGTGGTACCTTCACACTAGTTAATTAAGTTGATCCAACTCATGAAAATTAAGTTAAATCAAAATACATGCTTCATGCTGAAAGAAAGCTATTTTATCCTGTGGAAATCCTTTTCATGTTTGAATTTATGTTAATTCAAATACATTTTTTTAAGTGCAGTTAAATTGTTTTAGGACGGCTAAAGCAATCCTTTGAAATGTGGAAAAAAGCCTCCTTTAAAGATCCTATGCACTAGCTGAAGCAAATGTAGGAAATATAAATGCAGGGTAAGCTAAACAGTAGAACGGGAAACATTCAGGAGATCCTGGAACTACTTCATTGTTTTAAAAATTAATATTTTTAGCCATTGATGGTTGGTTTGTTTACTTTTATCAATTTTAATTATTCCTTTGGGTACCTTATTGGTTTATTATTTAGATGAAATTATCACATCATACAGACAAAGGTATATATAAAAAGACAAAGACAGATGGATAGATACAAATCTGTAAATATCTACTGTATCTATATATCCATTTCATTATTGACATTCTTGCATATATAATTTGCAGACTGGTATTTTCAAAACGTGTCCTTTTGTATTTGTATAAAAAAAATATATTCATTCTCTACTTTGATTTAATAATATAATATGATCTGACCAGTGATTATCTGATGCTACCATTTATTATTATGCATTATTAATCTATAACCTTACATTACTTCTACTTTACCAGGTGTAAATGTTTAATTCATAAAGACTTCACTGTATTTTGTTTTCCTACAACAGGAAAAACAAAATGCAGTGAATGAACTATTATAAAATTCATTCTACCCTACCGTATACTCCCTATACACACTCCATGTTTGTATATATTTTATTGCACCTTATTTTTGACAGTTACAGATATATATAGAGACAGGCCTCTGTTTGTTTGCATCTGTGTGAGTTAAAAATGTTAGAACTAAAGATAGATCCTTCATAGCACCCTTTGGTTTATTATTTACTTTGTTAGGATAATTCTCATTGAAGATGTGTTTATTACACCCTGGTGTGGGCTGCCTGTCAGGAATGAAGTTTTAATCTAATTAGGAGAGTTCCTCTGCTGGATAAACAGTTATAATCTTCATTTTGTATGTGGCAAAGATTTGGAAACGGAATGAGAGCGGTGTCCTATTTTGATAAGGCTGGAGCCATGGATGTCTACCCATCTGCTAATGTGTATGATGTAAAATGTGATGCGGCAGACTGGAGATGTATAAAATGCCTTTTTAACTGTTAATCGAGGCCACTTCCTGAGAGGTGAGCCCAGAGGTGAGCAGCTGCCTTCTGTAACCCTAAGCAATTTCTCTGATCTGAGTAAGATTACAATTCCTATAAAAATCTGTTTTCATGTCTCCTGGTTATTTAATACATATAAGGTATGAAGTGTTATTTAAAGAGTTTGTTCAGAGTGTTCACTTTTCAGGGAAAAGAACTGGAAAGATAGAGCATCAGGGTGCATACACAGAGCTTATCTTTAACAACTTATAGCTTATGTTACATATTATCTAGTCTAATTAAACAAATATTCTCTAAAAAGCCAACAAAAACAATATTTTTAAATTATTACCATCTAAAGAGTCATACTAATAATTTAATGATGGTCTAAGTATGAGATTCCCAGTGCTATAAATCTAACACAATCCCACTCATACACACTAAGAAATCAGTTATTAGAAATAGATTGCAGTACTCACAATGCGGCTCCATACCGCCCCCTGTCTGCTCTGCATGTCAGGTGTGAGTCGCACCTGGTCAGTGGTTACCATGGCATCCCCCATCAGTTCCCAGTGGGAGGAGCCTAAAGATCCCACACCTGCGACCACAAATGATAGAAGAGCTGACAAGGCTAGAGGTTACCGTCAGAGCAGCAACACTTAGTCAAACAAAAAAAGAGCTGACACAGTAAAAAACATGTTAAAAATGAATTAATCTCTATGGTAATACTGCAATAATACTGCTTAACGTAGGAAGGAACGTATATCGTATCTGATCAATACCCCTGCTAAGGTTATAATCCAACAAATATGAGAATCTAATGAAGATGCAGTTTTAGTAAACATCCTTCTGGAAATATCTTTCTCCAGTATGACCCCCCCACCGCTGCCCCTGGACGGATGACATACCTTGGTAAGGCTTGGAGAGCGAAAACTCCCGCTTCAGAAACTCCTCCATTTCATGATCATCGTCGGAAAAACACGAGCCTGCAAATAAAAAAAGACACGTAGAAAGGAAAAACAGTTTGTGCGGCATGATGTTCCGTCTGAACATAACGTCAAACAGTGAATCAGAGCGGCGCAGCCTGCTGCTGTTAACGGAAGCCATAATGGGTCAAAAATCATCTCACTGCTAGAAATGCCAGCTTTGTTCCCATTGGTGCATCGTGCTGCTTGGCCCGTTTTGATTGGGTAATGTGATTGTCAATCATACCATTCGGCTTGTTATTGGTCGATTTACTTTGGATGCAAAAAATACTACTTAGAGAGTCTATTGACTGATTATATTTCAATAAAACTTTCAATATAAGCAGACTTATCCGTTCAATACATTTGTTTAAGAAATGCATCTTTATAGCTTGACTATATAACATTTTTCTTGTCACTATTAGATGTAAACCCTTATAATACTAATATTCTGATTTATGTATTATTAGAGTTATGTGAAATAATTCATCTATATTAGAATTATGGCTCGAATATTGAGTATTCTTTATTATTTACATATTTAAAATAATATATTACCAATTGGAGCCTTTTATATATAAAAGTAGAAGGTTAGAGATTAATCTATGTGAAATCTTTACATCGGGTCTTTAATATCTCTCCTTTTTAATCTAAATGTGAACAAATCTTTTTTACTATCAAAGTTGCAAATCAAAATAAAATAGAACATGAAAGATACATTCCAACACAATAAATAGGCCTCCAGAAATTGTCCTTTTAGATGTTTTTTTTTTTTTTTGTCTTTTTATAAGTCTCACTGTCATGTAATTATATTTTATACCTGTTTTAATGTTGCATTTTAAATTGCTTGGTAAAATATGGTTTTAACCACTTTTGGAACCATGGTTCTAAAAGTGGTGGTGTATTGTATGTAATGTAATTGCAGGGAAAGAAATAAATGGATTAAATACTGTAAATATCTTAGACTTTTTTGAGAGGCATCCTTGCTTTTAAATTGATTGATAATGGTGTTAAATTCTGTTTTGCAGTATAATATTCAGTTTAGATTAAAGTTTTAAAGTCTTAAAAAGATAATTGTTTATTTGACTTTTTTTAGGTAAAGTAGTAACATTTCTGCAGCTTAAATAAACAGATATGAGGAAATTGGACATCCTTGAGGAATATTGCCATTAATGTTGAATCATACCTTTAGGTGTTATTATACAAATATTGGTGTTCTGATATAAACTCAAGATTAAATTGCATATTTTTTCTCCAAAGCCTAAATCTTTAAGTATTGAAAACAAAAATTGGTGTTCTACAAAATCAAAGGCTTTATAAAAATCTAAGAAAATAATAAAGCTAAAAATAAGTTCATATAAACTGGTGAAAAGCTTTACTTTTCATACATACTACTAAAAGGCTTTCATATATTGAGTAGGTTATATAAGAGGTAAATGTTTTCACTAGTTTATGTGAGAGCTTTTCACTAGTGATTTGTGCTAGGTTTTCAGTAGGTTATATAAGAGGTAAATGTTTTCACTAGTATTTATCCATGTTTTTCAGTACATTATATAGAAGAGTTAAATTAATTATGTGTATATGGAAGTTAATTCTGATTTTGTATAAGGGGCACCTTATACATTTTGGTTCAGAACATTTTGAGGTATATATGTTGCTGTAAAATTTACAGTTTTCTTTTGCTATTGTTTTTTCATTGTTGTTTTCCACCTGATTAATTACCAAGGATTCAATAGCATTTTGCTGTTTTTTTTGTTTGTTTTTTTTTTAGATATTCAATTTACAAAGCAGGCTGTTTTTTGCACCCTCCTCTATCTATTTGACTCTCTAAAGGCTCCTTTGATATAGATTTCATCTATC